CAAAAGCAGTGCCATACCGATCAAGCACACACCAAGGAAGACAGGGGAAAGGCTGCACCAACTTGAGCACACAGATGCTTGTCCAGTAGACCCACTTCTTGGTGAGGAGCAGACCCCCTTGCACTGTCAGGGTAGGTTCTTCCTGGCCCAGAGGCTGAGGATTTGCAGCCAAGTGACACTGGATGTGATAAGGTTCAACAAGAGCCTCAGAGTACGTAACAAGTCAGCAGTCTCTGCCAGATGCACCCCATTCTGACCAAGCCTGTGCATGAGCTGAGCTGCTCAGTCTGTTCCCTAGCATTCTTTTTTTTTTGCGGTACGCGGGCCTTTCACTGTTGTGGCCTCTCCCATTGCGGAGCACAGGCTCCAGACGCGCAGGCTCAGCGGCCATGGCTCACGGGCCTAGCCGCTCCACAGCATGTAGGATCCTCCCAGACCGGGGCACGAACCCATGTCCTCTGCATCGGCAGGTGGACTCTCAACCACCGCGCCACCAGGGAAGCCCTCCCTAGCATTCTTGGCTGCTGACAGTCCATCCCTCAAATTGTGGACAGCTTCTAGAGGTTGTGTTACATCTGTTCAGAGTCCCTTTCCTAGTATTTCCTGAAATGAAATGAAGTGAAATGAAATAAAACATGACATAGTTACATAAGTCTTGTTTAAGCATGCCAAAAAAAAAAAAAGAGACAACTTTGTGTGGCCCAATAAATAGGATTTAATTTTGCTTGTCATAGTGTTCATTACTTTATTAGTTTCCTAGGACTGCTATAACAAGGTGCCACTAATTGGCTTAAAAGAATAGAAATGTATTGTCTCACGATTCTGGAGCCTAGCAGTCTGAAATCAAGGTGTCGGTAGGGTCTCTATGAAGGTGCTAGAGAGAGGTGCTTCCTTGCCTCTTCTAGATTCTGGTGTTTGTGGGCAATCCTTGGCACTTCTTAGCTTGTAGATGCATCACTTCAGTCACATGGCTGTCTTCTCCCTTCATTCTTCACATTGTCTTCTCTCTTTGCATCTGTCTCTGTATCCAAATTTCTCCTTTTTATAAGGACACCAGTCATATCGGAATAGCTCCCACCCTAGTGACCTCATTTTAACTTGATAACCTCTGATTAGGTAAGACCCTATTTCCGAATAAGGTCACATTCTGAGGGCCTGGGAGTTAGGACTTCAACATATATTTTTGAGGGAACACAATCCAACCCATAACATTATTTCTAGGTAATAAGTGGATCTTGAGTCCATTGCCAGGAATGTAACCACATATTCTCCCTCCTTTCTCTCTCTCTCTCTCTCTCTCTCTCCTCTCCATCCCTGCCATCACATTCTATGAAAAAATAAATATGGTGTTTCTCAACCTGGAATATGTTTCTAGTAACATCACATTTTGTAAGCAAAAAATTAAAAAAAAAAAAAACCTGCCTATACTATTCATTTAGGAATTAAACTATCGAGTACTTTGTGACAACCCTCAGATTATTTTCCTGTATTGCTTCTTCACTCTCATATTGGCACTAAACATCTCTTGTACCTGTAGTCTGAACTGTCCAACTCAATTTTAGATTCATTGAGAACAGGGCTTCTAGTTATTGTTAATCTCACAGAGGAAAATTCTGGTCACAATCTATGGGTGGAACAAATGATTGAAAGCATGTCACAATATCCTCTATGCCTGCCACCAAACACACTGCTCCAGGCAAAATAACTCTGTCTGGAACAGTCCTATGCAAGTTGGGATGTTTGGTCACCTTAGGACTCAAAATAGTTAAGGTTTAAATAGCAGGTGAGATGGAGGCAAAAAAGTGGATTGTTTTTCTGAGAGCCTCACCTCTAAAGAGAAGAAGATAGAGTAATATCTAGAGAAGGAAACAGAGTCGAGAGAATTTTTCACCTCTTTATTCCCCCTCTTTCTTATTTTTTAAACCATGCTGAAGGCCTATTTCTATAATGAAAGGAAAAAGTGAGGATGAGGCTGGAGATATAGGAGGCTAAGGATAATTGATGGAGCAGCGTCTTGTCCTCATGAAGTAGAAGAGGCAGGATGCTGAGTCCCGAGGGTAGGAGAAGGTCCCACCTGCCTGAGAGAAAATCCCATGTGTGAAAGTGGGAATGGGAAATGGAGGGGGATTACAACAGATGCTTTCCATCTTGTCAGGACGCGGAGTGAGGAGAGGGGTGGGGTCGAGGCTTGAACGGAGATGAGCAAAGGCTTGGAGATGTAAGAAAACAGTAAAACACATTCCAAGAACACAGGAATGCACAGCTG